CACGATTATACAAACCAACAACAAAATGCCAGGACCACATAAGACTAGAAGTGAAGAAGGTATTTGCATTTCTGGGACAAAACCCACTTGGTCAAGGTGATTAATTCTTTGTTACTAGACTGTGCTCTTACCCATAAAGACATTAGTCTCTGATTGTTTGTTTTCAGCCGCACTGGGTTTGTAATTGCTAGGCAAGCCCTACAACTGATATCATGTTCCCAGCCCATTTTTTCCTTCCCTCCCTCCCTCCCTCCCTCTCTCTCTCCCTCCCTCCCTTCCTCCCTCCCTTCCTTCCTTCCTTCCTGAGTCTCATGGTTTCAGTCCCAGCTGACTTTGGACTGCAATCTTCCTATCTATTACTATACAACGAATAGTGGCTTTGTTATTAAGATGAGGCTCTTGCTGACATTTTTGCTCAGCTGGGCTCAGAGTGCAGTCTTCCCCATCTCTTCCTTCCAAGTAGCTTGGATCACAGGCAGAAACCACCTCACTGCCAGGTGCTGGTGGCTCACACCTGTACTCCTAGCTACTCAGGAGGCTGAGATCTGAGGATCGCAGTTCAAAGCTAGCCCGGGCAGGAAAGTTCCTGAGACTCTTATCTCCAATTAACCACCAGAAAACTGGAAGTGGCGCTGTGGCTCAAGCGGTAGAGTGCTCAATTTGAGCTGAAGAATGCAGGGACAGCTCCCAGGCCCAGAGTTCAAGCCCCAGGACTGACAAAAAAGAAAGAAAGAAAGAAAGAAAGAAAGAAAGAAAGAAAGAAAGAAAGAAAGAAAGAAAGAAAGAAAGAAAGAAAGAAAGAAAGAAAGAAAGAAAGAAAGAAAGAAAGAAAGAAAGAAAGAAACGACCTCCAGGACCATGGCTTTTTTTGTTGTGATTTCTTTGCCTATTTTGGGTGTGACAGTAATACTGGCTTCATAGAATGAGATGGAAAGTTCCCTCCTACTGTAATTGCCACGTTCATTCTCTCATGAAAGTGTCTGCTTATGTTATTATCTAATAGAGCTACCTGCTTTATTTTTTGTCCTTCCGTTCTTCATATAGATTGATTTTTTTTTGTATTTCAAGACAACCTTAAGACTATTGAATAATCTCATGCAAAAAAAGGAAAATGGGCCTTCCTTACATGACGGGTTAGGCTCCATCTCCAGCTACTCTTACTTCCTTACCATGGTTTAGAGGGAGCTACGGTCTCCTCATTACTCAGCCATTTCCTGGTCTCCCTCTCTCTGAGTGAATGCCACTTTTCACTGTGCTTATAATTGGCATTTGATATGAAGTGCTGTCTTTGAACAGGATATCAAAAATACTACATGTCAAAGAGAAACAAGAAGCAGTGGGAATAGATTGCCAGTGAGCAGCAGAGCTTCAGGCAGACACCTGAACCTCCAGACCAAAGCCAGGAGGATAGCTCAGGGTCCCTTGACAAGTTCCCTGGAATGCTTCAGGCTTCTGAAAGGACAGACTGGTGGGCAGTTCAGAGCATATTGTTGACCGGCTTCATGATGCCAGCCTTCATTTTCTCCTGTTTGAACTAAAGATAGTAAAGCCAGTTTTTGAGAGTTGTGACTATTCCACCAGCTCTCTGTGTAAAGCACATCACCATTTGTTCAATGCATGGTGGCTTTAATACATGCTGTTGGATATCCTCCATGAAAAGAGGTTCTGTGATGAAAGGAATCTTTGAAATGCTCCATCCTACAACCCTATTCTTACAGAGGCACAGGGCACAGGAATACAGTCAAAGCCCATAAAACTCCATGTGAAGAATCTTATTTTGCTGAATGTGGTATCTGAAGCCTATAATACTAAGCTTGTGAGGTGGAGATGGAACAGGGGATCAAGGTTCAAGGCCAGCCTGGGGGAAGGAGGGGCAGGGGGAGTTTCAAAGTTTCCTCAGACTCTATCTTAATAGTGGCATTCACCTGTCATCCTAGGAGAAGCAAAAATAAGAGGATCACAGTCTACACTGGCCTGGGCACCAAGTTGGACTCTATCTCATAAAGAACCAACATCCAAAGACCAGCTGAGTGGCTCAAATGATAAAGCACCTGTCTACCATGCACCAGATGCTGAATTCCAACCCCTGTCCTATCCCCCAAACAATCCTATTACATTTTTCCTCCTAGAATTTATTTCTCAAATCAAGATGATCCTTTCTCCATTTTTACATGGAACACTTATTTAGCATTCTTTTGGAAATATAGTATTAGTTATATTTAATTAATAGAAAAAAACACTTTAAATTGGTAAAAAAAAAAAATCGTGTTTTATTTCTTCACTCCCAAAGCATGCCAGCAGTGCATGAGGTACAAAGGTTTCTAAACTACAGAAAGCACAAAATGCTTTAAAAACCCGAGGGAAATGGGAAGTTGCAGCAGCAGGAGATCAGGGAGGAGCTATTATTAGCCACAGAGACATTTCTCGAATGACAGATTCTAAAGAGTTCAACCTGTTAAAGTTCAGCAACTTTAAGTTAACACTCTGTGAAGAAATGCCATCCTCACAAACCCTGCGGACAACCCAGACTCCTGATTTTTAGTAATTCAAGAATTCTCCTTCCTATTGGACTGCAATCTGTCTCGTTGGGCCTCTACCATGTTAACTGAATTTGGAGGTTTGTGTGCTAATGACAGCTTTCTGTTCTGGAAACAGAAAAGAAAAAGTTTCAAGAGGTTTCTTTACACAATGAAAGGACATAAAATAATCTGTCTGTTAACTGAACAATACACTGGAAGATTTGTTAGCAATGGTATTTTCCATTTTCTCCATCTGTAAATAGAGCAGGCAACAAGCAATTGAGCTCTGTTGTAAGCAGTGCACATAAAATTAACTTGATACACAGAATTACTATACAAGCACCAATTTCCTGGAAAGAAAGGAGATGCATGTTTTTTAAAAAAAGATTTCTATTTTCCTATATTTCTCTTTAAAATATTTAAAGCGACATGTTCCAAATTTATAATGCAAAGTTTGTTTTTCTAGACTCTTATTTATGAGGTGAGCTTTTATATATACAAATGTCTAAATGAAACATTGGCTATGTCTTATAAAGGTAGGTTTCTAAGCAAGAGTTAATAGTGTGAGCAGGAAACACTGCCTGTGTTTTATAGAAAGGGAGCTGCTAGATCTAATGTGGAATTTTCTCAAATTCTTCAAAACCTCAAGCCTGAAGGAAACTTTCAAGAAGTAAATGGAATATATGAATTAATGGGAGCATATAGCTTCTGTCAGAGTCTAAGACAATTCACCAGATCAGAGATGTGGGCAAACACACACCCAGTACGTAAATGACATGTTTTCATAGGACGGTCCTTCCAAAGGTGAACTTTCCAGACTTGACCTCATTTTGCATTAGATTGCTTCTTGGGCACACTTGATTCACTCTGAGTATTAAAGAAAAAAAATCCATTCCTATTTAACAACTGAAGAAATGGAAGTAAAGCCAAAATTGATTCACACTGAAAATATTGGGGATAAGAGGATGAAGAGGTAGGTGGGATTGTCACTCAATGCTAGTTGTGTGTTTCCCCCCAACCCCAGATAAATCCTTTCCTTCCAATTTCCTTTCTCTGAAGACTAGAATGAAATCAATCATTTGTTTACCCTAAAGGTTAAGTGCAATGGAAAAACCAATGCAGGCCCATCTAGGCAAAGAGCCAGTATTGGTGAGAAGCAATGGATACTGTTGGTGACGCTCTAGGACTCAATGTGTGCTGCTTTTCTATGGTCTTGGTATTAGGTGCACAAGTAGTGTACTGGAATTCCCTTACTGACACACACTACAGATTGCTTTTGTCTTTGTCCTTGGACCACATTAAAGACATAACAGGTTTTACCATTCATCTCATTAGCACATATTAGGTAGCTCAGGCAATATCAGGCATTCAAAGGTAACTTTTTTTTTTTTTGGTGCCAGTTCTGGGGTTTGAGCTCAAAGCCTGGGGCACTGTCCTGAGCTTTTGTGCTCTAGGCTTGTGCTCCACCACTTGAGGGACAACTCCACGTCTGGCTTTTTGGGGGGCGGTTAGTTGGAGATAAAGTTTCATGGAGTTTGCTGCTCAAGCTGGCTTTGAACTGTGATCCTCAGATCTCAACCTCCTGAGTAGCTAGGATTATAGGTATAAGCCACTGGTACCCAACTAAAAGAAACACACACACACACACACACACACACACAGGTTTTGTTTTGTTTTTTTGAGCACCTAATAGGAGGCTTAATAAAATCTGGTCTCTATATTCATAAGGCTAATAGTAGAGAAATAGAATAACTTCCACAGGAAATATCAAGTTCTCTGCAGGTGCTGGGGACCCAATGCTAGAAATTCAGACAAGAACCAACAAATCAGACCAGAGTGTCGCAAGACTTCTTAAGGAGCGACCATAATGGACTTAGCCAATGCAGGCTGACCTCCCTTCCCTTCTGTTTCTCCACCAGATGTGTTCTGGCCTGAGTCCTATGAGAGGAAGGAAGGAAGGAGGGAAGAAAAAGAAGGGAGAAAGGGGAGGAAGGATGGAAGGAGATTAAGAAGGAGAAGTCATGTCCACCAAGAACTCACGTCCAAAGCTGCTAGAGATAGCGAGGGGTAAAGGGGTGTTGCTCTGCACCGGAACCATCTGCATCCTCCACGCCAATCTAGTCACTCTTCTATGTCTACCTTCTCTTTGCTGAGTACTGGGACATAGGAACTTGGTCTTCAACTGGAAGGATCTCGCTGAGCCAGACCAGAGAGGAGCCGACTTTGTACCACCCACGAAGGCATGGAATAAAAACCCAATCTCCTTGCACTTGGGAGAAATGATGGCAGGCTCCTTTGCTAAGTCTCCAGGGTGACATCTCCACAGATAGCACACCGAGTGCCACGCGCATGCCCCAGCTGGGACACACCAAGGAGGCCTCTCCTGTCTTCTAAGCCCAAAAACAGCACTTGCCTCCCTTGGGATCCCTTGCCCATCCCGGGCCTCTGCCAGAGACAGGAAAGGAAAGCGGGCCTTGTTACCTCAGACTGTCCTCCAGGGTCTCCTCATCCGAAGAGAAGGCCCCATTGCTCACACCTGGGACACCATCACTCTTCTGCTTCACTGACTCCTCCCGGGAAAACGAAGTATCTTTCTTTTTCCTTTTGCCAAACAACTTCTTAAAAGGCTGGAACTTGCCTCCCTTCTTCTTGTCTGTGGATTACAAGATAAACACACATACACACACAGCAGTTTGATAGGGTTGGGCCTCTGAGCCTAAGGGCAAATTACAATCAAGAAAGCCAGGGCAAAGGGCAGCCGTCAGCCAAGCCTGGTGCCAGAAATACCAAGGCCAGCCTTGGTACAGCCTATGAACACACAATCCACAGGCATGGTATGCACTCGATTCCTTCAGAATCCCAGGAAACATCTGGGAAGAAAACAGGAGGCAGGAGCTTCAGGGCCTGTCTAGTTCCCCTTCGGACTTGGCCACAAAAGGGTGAGGCCTGTTTTCTTTAACAAAGTAGTTGTCCAAAGCCCTTCTCCAGGGAAGAAGCTGAGGAAAAATATGTAAGTTGTACAGGTGTTGAAGAAAATGTCACTCATTCATTCTGCCTTAGTCCTTATTAGACACAGAAGGTAACTGCTAACTCTTGGCACTAGCCTTCTTCTAGCCCTGTCCCACTATACTCCCCATGCCCTCCTCTCTACATACCTCCAGTTTAGCTCTCAGCTTTAAAAAATCTCCTAGGAGGAGCCCCAAAGGAGCTGCCACGAGCATCTCCCTGTGTGTCACTGCGCCCCGCGTGCTGCCAGCATTCGCTACAGAGTTCAGGAATGACTTTTCAGTGCTGTTCCTCCAGATACAAACTCCTTCCCACTGCTCCACCTTTCAAAACAAAGTGTAAATCACTGTCTCCCAGAAAAGCAGCTTTTCACATTTTTTGTTTTTTGTTTTCTTTAGGAAACATAAAGAGCCACTTATGTAACAGTTTGGCCATTAAAAAAAAAAAAGAAGAAGAAGCCAGGTGCCAGTGGCTCACACCTATAATCCTAGCTACTCGGGAGGCTAAGGTCTGAGGATCATGGTTCAAAGGCAGCCTGGGCAAGAAAGTCCATGAGACTCTTATCTCCAAGAAACCACTAGAAAACTAGAAGTAGTGCTATGTGGCTCAAGTGGTAGAGCGCTCGCCTTGAGCTGAAGAGCACAGGGACAGCACCCAGGCCCAGAGTTCAAGACCCATGACTGACAAAAAAAAAAGAAAGAAAGAAAAGAAAGAACGAAAAGAAGAAAAAACAAACCCAACTGTTTAACTCTTAGGAGGTAGGGCTGATCTAAGAATGTGATAGCTATTAACTCAATCTTCACAACTCTACGAGATAGATATTACAAATGCCTCCCCTCACCCCGGCCACCTTACACAGAAAGAACTTGAGAAACAGATGAAATAACATACCTGTATCTATATCTATTGATCAAGTTCTATCTATATCTACATCTGCAGCTACTGGGGTTTTAAGCCTGAATACTCTACCATTTGAGTAACATAATTGTTCCCTTAGATTTAATTTTTGTTTTATTTTTCAAATAGGATCTTGTTCTTGTACTAATCTTTTTTTTTTTTTTTTCCTCAGACTGGCCTCCTGAGTAGCTGGATTATAGGTGCGAGCCACCATTCCTAGTAGGACATATTTAAAGCAAGAGTCAGGAGTTCTGAAGAAGGAAAAAAAATAGAAGGCTTATGGGTATTTAAATGTACCTGCAGGAGGACTGGGTAGCTAGTCGCTCACACCTGAAATCCTGGCTATTCAGAAGGCCGAGATCTGAGGATCAAAGTTTAAACCCAACTATTTCCAATTAACTAGCAAAAACATGCCAGACTGGAAGCACAGATCAAGTGGTAGCGTGCCATCTGTGAGTGAAAAAGCCAAGTGAGAGCAAGACACTCCAAATATTCAAGTTCCAGCACCGACACACAGAGAAGAGAGATACCTGCAGGGAACACACAGGTCCAGCCTTCCTAGCTGACTCTTGGTGGGCCCAGAGTTCCCGGGTCCAGGTCCTACACAGGAGTCTGGGCCTAACACTGTGATGAATGATGCAGCACCAGATAGAAGAAGCAAAGGAGAGAACACCAGGGTAAGGAGGGCTTCGGAGGCCCTGAGGGGCTTTCAGCAAGCACAGAATGGCCTCCTGTAGCAATCCATCTGCAAAGCTAGCCCGCTTGAGGACTGCTAGTAAAGGTCTGCCTGGTGCTGCTCCTCATACAGCTAATCTTGCACATATACACATGCGGCTTCCCTGGAAGACTGTCAAAGTCCAGTGTCACACAGGGTTCTTCTCGGAGATCTCCCGGAATGCCGGTTCAGCAATGTCTGTTATCACAAAGGCCAAGAACAATAAAAACCTAACCCAGCTCTCCCTTCAACAACTAGCCCTTCTGACTAGGAGGAGAAAAAGATCAGAAGTCCTAATGACAAGTTCTCTTAGGAAGACTCAGACTACAGAAGCCTGCTGGCTCCAGAGTCTAGAGACATCTCAGTTATGGAACATAATTTCCTGATTTTTCACTTCCAAATCAGAACTATCTTTAGCTATTAAGGTTTGTCTTATGATTTCTATTTTTTAGCACTGACTGGCAATTGATTAATTTTCTACGTCTGACTTCATGAAAAGATTCAGTAATGACACTGAGGTCTATCCTATGTTGAAATAGCCAGTAAGTGATAGTAATATATAAATTTTACAAGTGAGGAAAGAAGTTACATCCTTATTTGGTTCCCCAATTTATATTCTCCAATGTAAGAGCTCTCCTATCAAAAGTAAGTTAATGAAACGCATGCAATTTCATGCTACGATGATTGGACTATGTGTACACTACTGTCTATCTTGTCATCAGCGTATGACTAGAGCAGTAGTTGCAGTTTGCCTCCATACAATCAACAGTGCATGGCCTCTGTGCGCTGAAAATAGCCAGTAGCCGCCATTTGCTTCACAAAGAGCAATTGCTATCGTGATGGTTTTTGTGGTACACAGATGGGTCCTAGAAGCTGGAAGCAATTTAAACAAAACAGAGCACACTTCTGCAATGTTAATGGGGGCGGTCCTCCAATCCAGCCGCCAATATGAAAGGTCGTTGAGCAAAGTAGTCTCCAATACGGAGCCTCTAAGATAGTATTTTAGAATTTTACAACACAAAACTTACTCTTGTTGAGTGCAGGGGTGGTGAGGGGAAGAAGGCGGGGTTGGGGGGAGGGGAGAGGAAGGACAGATGTAGCTATTACCAAGTTCAGTTTTATTTTACTGACTACAGCTCCCATTAGGGGTTAAGTGTGCAGGTCTCAGAGACAAGAGCACTTGGCTCAGATCCTGATCGCCATCTATTACTAGCTTTGAAACATCTGCTCCCCAGCCTCGCCAGAAATTTGCCATCTTAAGCTGTAAGATTAAATTTATAGGCAATGAGGTGGTGGGCACCACATTTTCTTAATAGTTCAGCATCTTTCTGTCATAATTTTCCACATTAAAGAACTTACAGATGCACATGGACCGCTGTAGGGATCACACATTTTCATGCTTAAAGGACTGAATTAAAATTAATTTATTTTCATGATCCAGTAGTTACTTTAGTTTTTTTTTCATTTAAAGAAGTGCTCATTACCTATTATTTCTCAGATAAAATGATATACCATCCGAAGGCTGTATCATCCTAATTGTTAGTTTATATAGAAGAGTCTGAAAAATTAAAAATCATGGGGCAAGTCAAACAAATCTGAATCATTGGTCATAAGGATGCAACCCTTACGTTTTCATTTTGTCACCCCAAAACAATAAAAGTACCCAACTCTTCTGCACTGGAAGTCTATGCTATGCATCCAAATGAGAAACAGAAATTTCCTGGGACAGTTCATTTTAAGTACCATAATGTCTTAACCTGGAGTTTCTCAGAAGTATGTACTAGGTGTTTAAGGCCTAGCCACCTGGGAATCCAGGTCAGATAAAGTAAGTGTATTTGTTGACTGTGCTTCTTCAGAGGCCAGCCGTGACTACAGTTCCTCAACATGCGCTCCTCTCCCCACACCCCATTCTGCTCCTGCGCTTCCCAGAACTCTCCCTAGCCCCATCTCTCTCTCTCCCTCCCTCCCTCCCTCCTGCACTCTCCCATGCACACTCTCTCTCTCTCCCCTCCCTCTCTCTCTCCCTCTCATACACACACACATCCTCTCAAACACTGTGCATCTTGCTCAGTACACTTGAGTGAGTTGACTACAACATGTTAGGCTGTTTTGATTAATAAGCATAATTGTCTGAATCCTACATTTTTACTAATTTAAGGATATTTTTGCATTGCTTTGGGAAAACTGAAGATTTTTTTTACAAGAGATTGTGAAATTTAAAAGATTGCTGGGTGCTGGTGGTTCACACTTGTATGCCTACCTATTCAGGAGGCTGATATCCCAGGTCAAAGCCAGCTATGGCAGGAAAAGCTATGAGACTCTCATCTCCAATTAACCACAAGAAACAGGAAGTGGCACTGTGGCTCAAAGTGGTGGAGCACTAGCCTTGACTAAAGATCTCAGGGACAGCACCCAGGTCTGAGTTCAAGCCCTATGGAAAGAAAGGAAGAAAGAAAGAAAGAAAGAAGGAAGAAGAAAAAAGGGAGGGAGAGAGGGAGGGAGGGAGGGAGGGAGGAAGGAAGGAAGGAAGGAAGAAAGGAAGGAAGGAAAGGTTACATAACACATCATGCCACAACCACCATACTTGTACCAGACCCCATAACCCCAGGACATTGCAGTGATGACTAAGAAGCTGGCTACAAGTTGGGTAGACTTGTACAGCATGTGCAGGGCTGAGTAATGTCAAGACCGAGGCCCGAGTCCTACCTCCAGACGGGAGGGGGAGGGGCAGCATGGCAGCTGGTTGAGTTACAAGGGGAAAGAAGAAGAATAGGAGGAAGATACTTGCTGTCTGCTAAGTGAGAAAATGAAGACAGTTCTGGAATTCTTTTGAAGGGGGAGAAGGCCTTTGGAACCACAGTGAGGGGCAGTAGAGGCTGTGTAGAGGCTGTGGCTGTGACAACCAGGGGTCAGAGGCTGAGAATGTGGTGAGAAACGCATCTCCAGGACTCACAGGGCATCTGAGGGTACAGGCTAGGGTGTATGCTGTGTCCTCTGGAACAGGCACAAAGCATGGATTTGCTGTTTCCTCAGCT